TGTGTGTGAACAGGTGAATGAGAGGCTGCTATATGCAGCACATTAACTAAAAAAAGACACTCCCCCCCTGGAAATACAGTAGCTTCTCTCGCACAAGCTCTAGTCATATAATTATATTTATATTGAAATTTTATCATGTTAAATATGTATAACTGTGTGTACTGTAATTCCCAGGATGGATAGAAGACAAATCCCTTTCACAGCTGTGAGGAAGCAAATTTCCCAGCTTTGGTATTTTCAATTCCTTGGAATTTTTGTGCATTCAAAGCTCTTTCATAACATAAACAGTAAACCTATTTACTACAACCATAGGTTCTGTTAACACTAACATCAATAAATGTAAAAATAAAAAAGCATTTTTTGATATTCAGTGATATTGAAGTAATGCAATTGATGCCAAAAAAGTATCGATACGCAGTACTAACTCCACAGTGCATTGAATGTGTCAGTGAACACTCTGTGGTTCACTCTGGCTTCTGCACATTGCTGGACACGTGCAATATAAGAACATATAATCTGCAGGTTTATAGAAAATTTATACAAATTAAAATTTTATATTATGGAAATGTATATTAATAAAGCAGGTGCTTACATGCTTGCTCACTTGGAGAGTTAACTCTTGTGTCCTCTGAAATGAGACCAAAGAAAATGGACTCAGCATTTACTAACACCCTCAGGTCACGCTGTCCATCCTCTATTCCTTCACTACCATCTGCATTCTGCCCAGTAACCCACAGGTACCAGCCTGCCAGCTGTCAAACATTTGGCTCCACAGGGAAGAGACACATCCAATCCACACGCCTTAGACACCCTCATCTATTTCTCTATCTGTCCCTCTCTCTGTAAACCCTCTCATCCTGTTTGAAATATAGATAAGCTGTCAGCAGCCTGTCTCCAGTACTCCGGGGCAGCGCCTGCCGCACATGTTTAAATCATGTCAGCAGACAAAACTTGGGGCAGGGACACTTTCCTGCTTGGCAGCGGTCAGCTGCACTTTACATTGATATATGTAAGAGCAAGGCACTGGTGAGCGCGAGAATCTACAATTTGTAAATCTTTTAAGAGATTCAGTTGGATTAAATGATACTGTAAACTTTAACGTGATAGCGCACAGTATTGTAGTATTAATAAATATCTATTTTAGCGTTCTTTCTTCTTGTAGATTGCACTTTTGGAGAGGACAGCAGCTACAGTGAGTTTAGATTCACAGCAGTGGTGTCCAACGTGAACCAGAGTCACAGCAAAAATAAAAACAGAAGAAATGTCCATGGAAACCTCTGAAACCACTTCTGCAACATACCTACCTTAACATGTTCCAAAAAATGTTACTTTCCTAATAAACTCAAAAAGATTTTTTTTTTTGCCAAGTCAGGCATCAGGGCCAAAAAAAACCACCATAGCTTAGCACTAGTTTGCCAAAATAAAAGACTAATGCGCAACAGTAGTTACTGTATAAAAAAGTGTGAGGGCATTAAAAGATTCACATCTGCTTCTCACCTGCTTCCTGTGAGACAACCAAGTCTGCAGATTTCTTTGTGGCTTCACATCAACCCAGTCTCACAGCAAAATGTATAGTAGCTACGTTGGTCCACAACACAAACGCACTAGTCTCATAACAACACCTTGGACACTGTGACATTGCAACATCAGTCTGGCAGTGAAAATGAAAGACAGTGGCAGACATTCCTTATACATGGTTACATTTAGGCACAGCAACTACACAGTGAAGATTAGAGAAAGACCCTGGGTTTGGTTAAAACATGAAATATATGAAAACTACAACCCCGCACACGAGACTCAATCCCTGGTTGTCTGCATGAAGGCCAGGTGTTTGTTCTATCCATGCACCCCAGCCACCACCTTGCTAGTGTTCTACTTCAAAACCATACATCTTCAGCGGACACTAAATGTTAGCCTCCTGATCCACACTCACGATCAAATGTGGGCAGTAATGCACCATTTCATTGCTTTCCAACTACCATAAAAAAGAAGAACACTAGGCTGAAATACAAAAACGCTGCCATGTCACAATTTTACAGCTGTTATTGTGGCACTTCTACGCCATGGACCAATGTAACTATTCTACATGTCCATGTGAGACTCTCTATTGAGGGTTTATTATACACGAAGGTGAATGAGTGAACGAGGGAGTCATTTCAGCCAAACAATATTAGATTTTTTGGATATATTTGTGCTACTGTTCCAACCAGGAAGCTAGTGATTTCCATTCTATTTTGAAGTCAGTAGATGCTTTAAACTTCCTTAAGTTACACAATCTGGTGGGCAGCACGGTGACGCAGTGGTTAGCACCGTTGCCTCACAGCGAGAAGGTTTCGGTTTCGGGCCCCACCCGGGACCTTTCTGTGTGGAGTTTGCATGTTCTCCCCGTGCTTGCGTGGGTTTTCTCCGGGTACTCTGGCTTCCTCCCAAAGACATGCAGCTTAGGTTGATTGGTGTCTCTAAATTGCCCATAGGAGTGTATGTGTGTGTGTGTGTGTTTGTCTATGTGTTAGCCCTGCGATGGATTGGTGACCTGTCCAGGGTGTCCCCCGCCTTCGCCCAATTGCCAGCCGGGATTGGCTCCCCCCGCTGTGACCTTGTTCAGGGACTAAGTGGTAGAAAATGAATGAAGTTGCACAATCTGTTCTAGTGAACATCATATAAATGTTTGTCAAAACCATATTATTGGTAATTCATTTTTATTTAAGGCACTATACATAATAATAACTGATAAAGATTAATGATTGAAGTTTACTGTCATGCTGCACAACTGAAGCAAAGTTCAAGAGTCTTCTAAACTTCATAAAGAATTTATGGAAACCTACGGCTGTTTATGCCCCTTTAATCTATCAGTTAAGATGATGTACTGTAAACAGTACTGGTCTTATTTTCTACTAATAGTCACTATTTGGAGGTGATGTAAACCTGTGAAATCTTTGAAGCCAGACTGACTTTGCAGCATTAGGTGATCCACAGCTGCAAACAGCTTCATGAGAACAATTTTCTCTCTGCTGACTCATTCAAAAGGCTGTGAGCTACAAATCATTGTAGAACAGCAGGTTTGTGACCATGTTCAGGAATATTAGGAACAAACAGCTTCTAAACTGACATGATACAACCAGCAAAGCCCTCTCTCTTACTCAGTAACCCACACATCCATCCATTAGGTGTCTGTTGTTGATCCCCAGTCATGTTAAGGCTGATTTCGGCTGCTGTGTCACCCTGCCACTCCAGCTATAGGACTCTCCCCTTCCATTTGCTTCTGTCTTTCGGCCTTGATGCTGTAACTCCGTATTTTTAGTGCAACTATATTTGCATGCCTCATCCTGTGACCTTGAGTGTGTGAGTCACTAGGGATGGAGAACAATTTTACTGATGCACATCTGGTTTTTGCAAGTGTAAACACCTTATTCTCAGTTGGCCTGCTGGTGGCTCAGCTCAGCTCTCAGTCAACAGGCGCAAGATAATGTTTATTCGTGCACACAACCGGTGCATTCCCCTGACAGACTCAACACCCCCAGCAACCGACTCCTTGTCTTCCACTTCCGTCATTCTCCATGTTTTGCACTCCTCTGTTGAGTGTCTGTCTGAACTATCACCAGAGATGGGCTGCTCCCAGTGGAGCAATGAGATGCAAACCTTGTGCTGATCTCACCTGAGTGATCTCTGCTGTGCTGGCAGGGAGCTAGTGGTGGGCCTTACATTATCAGAAAAGGAATCTTTCTGATTATACAGCAGTCGGGGTGGGCTGACAAATGAGGTGGAGGAGCATTGGACTGGGGGAAAAAGGGGGTGATGGATAGAGTGGAGGGAGAAAAAGGAAAAGGGGCAAAATGGGATGAACACAAACAATGTCTGTATTTGAGAGAGCCAGAAGATGTCTAGGAGATGTCTTCAGCTGAGCGTGCATGGGTCCTAAATGGGTTTCCAGGGAGGGAGAGATAAAAGAACCTGTCATTCCTCCACTCTGTCGTTCTCTCTGTCTTGTTCACTCCCTCCTTCTCTTTCGATCTTCATCTCCCTCTCTCTATACTTGAGCTCTCCAGCCACCTCTCATCCCCCTATCATTAGGGCCCACTAATAAAATGTGGAGTGTCTCATATTGGTGCCTGGGCCCCGGCAAAATATATTAGTGTGTAAATGGTGTGGGAGTAATGAGAAAGCACTCAAACCAGGCAGGAAGACTGGACCGTGGGGCATGTTTTGTGTCTGTGTGTGTACCTGCATGTGGTGTGCAAGTGCATCAAATGAATAACAAGAGACATTGGGTGGAGAGGGGCCCCAGCTTGCGGGGACCAAAGTGGTGTTTCTGCCTGAGATGCCAATCCTACAATTGTTAGCCTCCAACAGAAGAGAGACTTACAAAATCTATTTGGTCAGCAGCATTCAATCTCACTAGTGGCGGAAAGCATCAAAGTCAATGTCATTTTGTGGCCCACTTAATTCAAACCTTTTTAAGGTGAATTATGCAGACTTAGCAAAAGGATTTATGCGCTATTGCCTTACGGACTGACTTCATTAAATCAGCAGCTACATTTTGCCATCACCAAATCCTTTTTAAAGCAGTGGTCCTCAGTCCCGATCATCAGGACAGTGTACTGCTGGTGTTAAATCCTATCAGCTATTGCATTCCCCTTGCTTCCCAGTTGTAATTAGCCTCTGTTTAGCTGTTGAGCAAGAAAACCAGCAGGACTCTAGGTCCTGAAAACCACTGATGTAGTGCATAATGACTCCTCTTCTTTTTTTAAAATCCCAGAAGGGGAATACCTACTCCTTTCTTTTACACGGTCTCCCTGAATAATGTATAACTGCATATTGCTCAAACAAATGGCCCACACCACTGGCTATGTAATAAAGGGTTGTGTGTGAATGTGGCTGAGTGATATCGTCCCATTTCCTCCTGGCCTGGGGGGCCTAAGGAGCAGGAGAGAAAAGGCACACACTCCATCCAGTTAAAGCTGTTTTCACGGATGGATTTTCTTTTTTCTTCTGCTCCACAGATTTGCTGCCCAAGTCGGTGGAAAGCGTCTTCATCTTCCAGGAAGCAAGCGAGGGTGAGCCCAATGTGGCGATCCCAACATACGATGCCATCGTAGTGGAGCAGTGGACCATCATTGATGTGAGTGGAGAGAATTTTCTTTGTCAGAGTCAGCATCACTGGCTTTTGTGCTCTGTGTCACTGGTGGAAGGGTTATGGCAACAAAAATGATCCCGCCCAGGAGAATTTTAATGCTAAGAATCAAAGAAGCTGTTCTGCAGGCTGATGTTGATCTGAGTCTTATAAGAATAACCCTAATGCTGGCTTTTCTGCTCATTGGACACTCATTGACATTAGAACATTTTCTTAGAAGTATTGTAGTTTTCAACAATAATCTAAAACAACTGAATCTACATCGCTCTGCCCTATTTAGAGCTCAAATCCACTTTAAGAGTTTGATCGTCTTGTACAGAAGATCTGATCTGTTGTCACTCAGATATTGTGCCCTTGCACCCCCCTCAATCTTCAGACAAGTTTTCTCCCAACAACCCCAAAGGCAAATCTCGCAAATCTCAGTTTCTGGGACATGTGTTGGGGTCGCTAGTCTTATCAAGAGCAAACAAGCTCTTATCTGCCCTCCGATTAGCGTCTCTCCTCCACACAAGTTCCAAGCTGGAAATTGATTTCTGTCTTGAGTTTAAGGGTTTGTAGCCTTTTCACTGCCTTTCATCCGTGTGTGTGTGTGTGTGTGTGTGTGTGTGTGTGTGTGTGTGTGTGTATGTGTGTGTATGTGTGTGTGTGTGTATAGGTTTGTGCATGCAGCTGTATGTACATGTGGTTGTGTCCACTATGAGTTTAGTTTTGTGTGCCTTTATGTGTTTGCTGATGTTATCTCAGTAATTGAATTTAGACTTTTGTGGCCTGTGGCTGTCCAAGTGTGAAAGGAGACTTTTGTCCCCCAAATGTGACTCTCTGATTGTTGAGTCCAGCGCTGATGGCCTCATGTGCCAATAAAAAGATTCCTGCAGTCGTCTGGTGGCAGCAGTAGCTCCTGCCCTCGTCGGAGAGGAACAGTAATACTGTTACAGCTTAATAGATTTCAAGGCTTCCTCAGAAAAGTCAACAAACAGTGACCCAGTGTTCCAGGAGATCCAGCCAACTCTTCCACTGGGACTTTATCAAAAAGTGTTTCACTCAAGTAATTTGCACCATGCCAAATCAAACTGACAACACATTGCTTTACAAAGGGCGATCAGGGCCTCACACCATCCCCATTCACTGTGATAACTGCCTAATATTGGTATGCAAAGTATCCTCACAGCTCATTATTGTTTCAGCACTGGAATAATTACAATGAAAAATAAAGCTGATTATTGATTGCAGGTCTTCTTTCCCTGGTATACTCCATCTTCTTTTCTTTTCCCCCCTCATGCTTTACAGTTTTATTTATCCAAAGTCTGACAGGTGGTTGGATGCATGACGCTCAGAGAAGAAGAGCAGGAAAACAAGCAGATTCACTGAGGGCATGCAATCATTTACACTGTCATCAAGTAGGAGTGTATCATCTCAGGGACGGTGTCTGTTCATTACTGAAGGGAAAAAAGAAGGTTTGAATCGTTTCATTTATAAATTGCTTACAACTAATCAGAGAATTTGCATGTGAAAAGTGCCAATCTTCTACTGGCATCAGATCTACAGGTGTTCACAAAGCAGCGTAGCGGTGATGAGCTGCAGTGATGCAGGAGTTATGTTGGTACATGAGATTACTACTGAATACAGATCGATAATATTGTTTATAATATTGATATTCTAAAGTATAGATTGTTAGAAAGGTTTAACATACCAAAGCTCAGCTGAAAACCATCTTTTTCCTTTACAACATTTCAATATTTTTGTTACTGGAAGAGCATAAGGCATTTCTTAAATCGACCTACTTCTTGTAAAGTAGGAGTCAGGTCACTGGTGAAATATGAAAGATCAGGATCATGTGATCAATAGTAAGTGGACTTCAATCCATCTGTTTTTAAACCCACTTTCAATTCTCAAAAAGAAAAACTGGGTGGAAACATAGGACAAAAATGTTTTAGCTTGGATGAGGTGTAAAGGTTTTGATTACAATATTAGTAGCAAAACAACAGGTGCAGTGGAAACAGACTTTGCAAACAACTCATGAAGGATGTGACTTGTCACTGAAGACATGGAAACTTCAAATAGATGTGCAACAGCAGGGAAAATATAATGATGCTAAAAATTAATACATGAAATAAACATATATGAAATATTTCCACAATTTTCCATACAGTTTCCATGGTTTCAGATCTGACTCTTGTGTGTATATATATATATATCTTTTCTTTATTTTCCTGGCCCGAGATTAAAGCTAAATGTAATTGTTTCCCCGTTTGACATCGTTGTCATGGCATCGTTGTTTCCTCCCGAGTAAAATGACCTGACTAGGAACCACATGGTTAGTGGTGAAGAGCTCTAAAAGAAAAGCTCATCAAGGGTCTCTGCTATGAAGCTCCAATTAGGATCAATGTCTCATCCTCTGTCCTCTGAGAAAAATCAACACAGGAGATGCTTTGGAACTAATGTACTGAAAGGCCTCTTTCCTATCACTGATTTTCACAGTAGCAATAGCCAAACAAAACATGTTCTCCTTGGGACCTCAGCTAGGGTTGGTCTTTATACTCATCAAGAGGGATGAAGTGCATTAGCAGGAAGGTGTAAATGCACAGTCACAAAACATCCAAAAAGCTGGTCTGTCATCACCTGACGTCTTCGATGAGTCTGATGTTTCTCAGACGTTTTTCAGCTTCTCTTTAATACATCCTTCAAATGTTCTCTGTAGCACCATTATCCACTTCAGCTCTGTCAGACCCAGTGGTGGGTCCATTATGATGCTTTCAGTTCATATTGTCCAAACAACTCAAAGTTATATTTTAAAATCTCAAGATCATAAAAGGATTTTATGAATAGCTCTGACATCTAGCTAAAGGGAGAAATGTTTATTAGACTGTGAACGGTCATGTAGCATATTTCCATTTGATCTGTGCAGCCTTAAGAAAACATCCCATCTCAGGTTTGGAATGTTACACAATGTGAGCATCATATAAGCTTCAAAGAGCTTAAAAGTGAAGGGACATTATAGAGGCTGTAGCTTGGATTTGGAAATTAAAAGGGAATGCCACCAATGAGTTACTTCCATACACTGGTTACCATTCCAAGACAAACAGATTGTAGCTCCCTGGGTACCACAACAAAAGCTTTGTTTATATTGTTTGTGCTGCCACAACATAAAAAATAAGGTGTTTAGTGGAGTCTAGCGTTCACAAAACAGTTTTCTTTTTCTCTGACTTTAGATGAATAGTACAGGAACTTAAGGAAGAGGAATCTTAAGCAGTCGTAATGTTTTATATTAAGATTTACCATGGTTTGAGTATATACTGTCTGTGCATGGTTTCTGATACTCCTGTTGTAAGTAAACTGTTCTCTCAGCCACATCAGACACTGCAGTCTGATAATGTTCCAGGCACAGTCACTCCTTGATCTCAACAAAAACTGCAGGGAGGGTTTAGAGAAAGTGTTGACTTCGGCAGAAAGACAGCCTAAGAGTTAATATCAGCTGAGTTCAAACTTGAAGAACGGCAGTGGAAAGTTGAAGCAAGTGAAAAGAGCTTAACAGTGATGACATTGTTGTCACTCATTTCCAGAACTCACTAGCATCTCCGGCTTTGAAGAGCAGCACTTCACAGTCTTCAGAAACTAAATTATGTCTAAAATGGGATTAGAGCCCCACATCACAGCATCAGTATGGCTGGGAGGAATCTTTGAGGAAATTGTTTTAAGACATTGAAAAGATACCTCAGAATCTCACATACACACACAAAGGCTTCTTGGGCTGTTTGTGTTCAGTTGCTGCAATCTTCTTGGAATCAGTTTCACACAAAAGCCACCTGGTACAAAGTGTCTTCCTCTGGGTACACTAGAAGTGCTTCTAAAGTACCCAGAACACCGGATGAGGATTTGTAGTTTTTCTTTTAATGTCCAACCTTGTGCAGTACCTACAGTTTGTGGTATGTGATGTGTGATTTGCTCTTTGTCTGTGTTGCCATGCCCGGATGTGTGCGTGTTGTGTAGAGAGCTGATCGTTAACATGTATATCTCTATCCTCTCTGACTGAGGTGAGACGAGAGGTGACCTAGATAGAAGGAGAGCAATTTTCACCCTCCCTGCAAGTGAGAGATGGTGCCCACTCTGTCAGACAACGTGACACTGATGCTGATAGCTGCAGGACAGAACCAGAGGCTGTTGTTGTTTATAGGATGCAGTTGTTTATAAGGCATAGTAAGATACAAGGAACATGTACTTACCAGAATAAAGATATAAAAAATAAAAGATAAATAGTGGCTTGTTAAAAGGTAACCCCTGTAATTCCCTATCTTTTTGGCTGATCTTTTATTTTAGAAAAAGCATGCAGCCGGGCCTTTTATCATGTGTCAGACATCTATGAGTTGTCAGCCAAAGTGTTATTTCCCTTTTAGACTCCCAGAATGGTTCCACTGAAAAACGTTGAGACCAAAGAAGTACAATTATCAATCTTTCACAAAAAAGCCTGGAATATTCTGCCCAAATACATACAGTTTTGCAGCTAAACATTGTTTTTTCTTCTTTCCTTAAAAAAATTAAAAAGATCAGTCTGGGAGTCCTTCATGAGGCCCAACCCCTATGTTGGACAGCTAACTTGACTGTAGTAGTTAAAATAGCCCCACCTGAACTAGCTACAATAGTAAAATGCTGCTATGCATTAGGAATGATCTAATAATGTAATATCTAAAAATACAATGTTACTTTTCTTTAGATATAGTATTTAGAGTACATTTTTATAATAACCCCACAAGCTTTATACAGATTCCTGAGTATTTTTAGATTACTGTATTACTTGTACGTATATAAACAATCTGAGTATCTCTTCCACCACTGCCTAAACAGTCACATAGTGGAAGTCCTCAGACAATTACTTTATATAGGTCCAGGCTAAAGGGATATCAGTTGTATTTGCAGATTATGGTGTGCACAGTGGTGAACAGTGGGATCAGGTAGAGTTGAGTCTAAATTAAGGCTAACCTGACACAAAAACTGTTTTGTTGGTATCTGTCTCCTCTCTTCTCCAAAGTAGGTTGCGGTTAGCGGAGCCAGCTCAGGTAACCTAGAAAAACAAATGTTTTTAGCAAACCAGCCAGCAGGCTAGTTTAAAACAGCAGTAAACAGAGACACAGAGAAGGACTTGTTTTATTTGAATAAAATAAACTTGATGACTTGTCTGAAGATCGGTTTCTGAAACCCCCTATTTGAATCATCAGTTTCAATCATCAGATGCTCACCATTTTATTTCCCTCGCAAAGGTGCTTGATAAAAGCTTTGGCTAACATATGATGAACAGTAACAGTGATCCCTTGTTTAAATACCTCATCACATGTTATCAGGCTACATAGTTTAGTCTTGATTCAAAAGTAGGTTAATACCTCATAAAGGTTTGAGCTTTAGATGTACTTGGCATGCCTTCTATTAAGCTTTGTTGGTTGATGGTTTATAGGTGTGTGTGTGGGAGGAAAAGAAAACCAAAGTATTAGACAACTTACAATACTGACCTGATGATGGCAGAAGATGAAGGGTGAGAGGATCAAAGTTATGGCAGTTCATCAGAAAGGCTCCAGCCATCTATAATGAATAAAGCAATGTAAGCATGAATAATACTAATAAAACAGTGGACAGCTATTAAATGGACTTTGAGGTGAGATTGTTTTGTCAACTGCTGTGTCTTAGATCAAATTTCAATCTCAATTTGTAGGCTAACATGGACAAAAAAGTCCTTAAAGTGCTGAGAAAAATCTACACTTGAACATCTTCAGTTGTACAGCAACTGGACAAAACCATCTGCTAATGAGACGTGTGAAGGTCCATGATAGTTACTAAAGGGACTGTGGTGAAATTGTTTTGTCAAGCTGGTGGGAGGTTTTGGAACATCCATGCTAATCAATAAGCTGATACCATCCAAACACAAAACAGAGCTGATGCCACAGTGAGGAGAATGTGTTAAAAAGTGGCAAAAATGTGAATTTTTAAAATGCTTTTGACAGAGCTAGTCACATTTAGACAAGGTTTTGGCTGTGTTTAAACCTCAGTGGATGCTGATTTTTTTCTGTTGCTGTGACAACACTCTGGGTCAAGTGAGCCAATAAGAGACAGTTTCTGAATGTCCTCTGTTAAAGGTATTTGCTCATCATTACTAGCCTATGTCTGCAAACCTCTTGACCTCAGTAGTCTGCAAAAATATCGCTGCATTCAGAGTTGGTGAAAAACAGAATTATGGTTTGTTATGTCTACCTCACAGAGTCAGTGGAGGGGGTGCAAAGAAAAACAACAGACCCGTGTTTGTGTTGAGCTCATGCTCAAAGTGCACTCTGAACTTTAAACTGACCTGCAGCTTCACCCTCCTTTGCCGCAGTCCACAGTTTGAAATAATGTACCTCCATGCCTTTTAAGAAAGAATTTAATTGTAGATTATTTCCTAGGCAACTGTTGCTTTAGTTAACATCATCAGCCCGGGAAACATCCATCCATTATATATATGCTTATTCCTGAATAGGGTCACAGTGTTGCAGCCAGTCCCAGCTGACATTGGACAAGAGGCAGGGTCCACCCTGGACAGGTCGCCAGTCTATCACAGGGCTGACACTTAGAGACAGACAACCACACACACACACTCACTCCTAGGGGCAATTTAAAGTCTCCAGTTAACCTAAGCCTCATGTCTTTGGACTGTGGGAGGAAGACGGAGTACCTGGAGAGAACACATGCAGGCACAGGGAGAACATGCAGACTCCTCACAAAAAGGCCTTGGCTCAAGTGGGGCTCAATCCCGGAACCTTCTTGCTGTGAGGTAACAGTGCTAACCACTGTGCCTGAGAAACAGTGACAGTGACTAACAGATTCCTTCCTTCCTGTTGAGATGCTCTTTATCAAGGTGGTTGGACCAAGGTACAAATGTGTTTAACTGTGTGCAGAGCTGACCTGGATGTAAAACCTGAATATAATTTAAAGTAGCTTTGATCAAAGTGGTTATACCACAGTTCCTCTGTCCTGTTGCCATGTGGTTCTTCTTTATAGTCACTAAGACAACACTGGAGACAAAAATGGCAACGTGATTGCTTTGATTGTTGGGCTCACAGGTCAGTGATGGAGTGCTGATGCAGCAAGGTCGCCCTGCATAATAAGTCAGGGAGAACGGGGAGCTGTACCCCAGGGACTGTGATTAACTTTCACCTACTCCAAAGAACAGCAAGCCATTACAGAAAAATGATTTTGCAATTTACTTTCTGGGCAGGCTTTGAAACAGAGTCGGTTTCTGGGAGTGGTTCCAATGCAAACTCCTGAAAAATGTAGATGTGCTGCTCCCTGTAGGAACTGAGAAAGTAAAGCTTGTGTAAATAATGTCTGGAGCAATGTGTACTATTATAATGATTATCTCCTTGCAAACTACACTTTGATATGCCACCATTTTTGGTCTGTTTGTATATTTCTTGTCAGCTTTCGTCAGAAGAATCTGTGGAGGAATAATGAGGCGTTGTGTGGTGGAGTGGCTTTAAGTGCTGGGACTTACCAGTGAGCAGGTTTTCTCTCCCACTTTGTACGTCTCTCACTAGATCCAGCTGCAGAATTAGAAATAGAGTTAGTAGTAATAGCAAAGTAATCAGTGACAGCTCAAAGAATATCAAAAGATGCAGTTTTACTACAGTACTTGCACTACTTGATGTAATGCTGTAGTTCCAATAATAGTAATTAAATTTTATTATTTTTATTGCTATTATTTAATATTGTGGGGTTACTGTTTGCCCAGTAACTTTACCTATGATAGTAGTTGTGTTAGCATTTGTTGTATTAGTTATGGTCATGATGCTACTATCTAGATGCAGAATTTGAATTACTTAGGGAGTCAAGGCATTAACCTAACAGCTGGAGTATTAGTTGCAATAATATAGTGGCAGCTGTACTTAAATTCAGTAAAGGTAGTTGTTGTTGTTATAGTTGCTGTTACAGGGGTAACAGTATGTCTAATGTTTTATCTATATATGCATTTTAATGTTTTATCCATCTATGCACATTGTGTTAAGCACTTTGATTTACATATGAAAATGTGCTATATAAATAAACATGCCTCACCTAGTACATTACATAATAGTAGTGGGAGTAGTTTATCCTCACAATAATTTACTTCCTTCCTCCATATGGTGTCAGTGTTTCACACAAGCATGTGAACTCCCCCTTTAAGGTGTCATTTACTAAAGTCTTAATACTATAAAAATACAACTAATACAAAAAAACCTTCTTTAAAAAAATGGTTACTTCTGTGCAGTGGACACCAGATTTGTTTTAAGTCATTATACAACTTGGACGACTGGTTAAAGAAAGAAAAACAAGACATTATTATAAACTAGCACCCTGATTTCCAGAGTCATTATTACTGTGGTCTTTTCACATAGACTATGTACTGTTTAAGAAGTTAGGTGGTCCCTGCACAGACCATGACCCTATGCATCTTCTTTTTCCTAGAGTCCCTGACTCTAATGTGGTCCCAGACCACGAAGGCCCTGGATGTTCTTCAGAGCAAATAGAATTTGTCTTACCTTATTTGGTGACCTCGGTCCCTTGTTCTCTCAGAAGTCCTGTCACTCATCTCCCCTCCAGCAGTTCCTGGCCTCTCTGCTCAAAGCATCTCCTTAGTGGAGACAGGACGGAGGACTTTCAGTCAGGAGTCCCAGACTCCACCACACAGGGTATCAAGTCCAAACCTGGAGGAGAGAGGGGGTCTTGGGATTCAGCTCAAAGGACGCGTACAAGATGTATAATAATTATACTATGGGTCTCTAGGTGTTACTGTCACTTAGTAAATATATTTTCAATAATTATTCCAACTACAATAAAAGCTTTTATTTACTTGTACTACTGTCATTGGTGGAGCTGAAATGAACAACTATGCATGTTGGCAGCTCCAAAACAAAAGTGAGACACAGAGCACCCTAAATCCCCTGCACACAACACGCTCGTGTCTGTTAATCTGGCTGGTTTGTAATACGTTAAACAAAGAAAAGGGAGGAAACTAGAGGTGATGGCCGTGCTTTGGTTTAAATTTCACCCTTGATTTGTGATGAGACTTTTGTGGTTCCTTAATGGCCAAAGGGACAGTCATGTTATGCAGCCACTCTGTGATAGAAGCTGGTGACTGCGGTTGAGCAGTACATCCGGTTGGTGCAGCTTTAATTAGAGCAGGTTTTCACACGTCAGTAAAGTGAAGGCCAGTGTAGCATGTGTAGGTGTGATGTATTCTCAGGTCTCTGTTCTTGAACAGTTGATCAGTACACTATGAATAGACTGAGGTTCTGTGGTGTACTTTGTTCATCTTCACTGCCTTCTTGACTCATATCAGTAATCATACTGCACCACTGAGAGTAACGGTCTGGAATTTATGTAAAAAGGGTAACGGTGTGAATTCTTTTATTTTACTCTGGTTTTTTACTTGATTTTTATTTTGCTTGGACTCCAACTTTCTGCACTATTACAAGAATACAGATACATACTACTAATAACTAGCAGGTCTGTGTGAATGTGAGAGTACGTGCGTTCGAATGCACACGTTGTTAGAAGTGACTGGCACGCGTTGCGGTTTTCCACTTTCATCTGGTGCGTGACTTGACTAACCAAGATGTCGTCTCCAGGGTGTGTCTGTGAACACGTGCATGTTCTGAAAATACACTGGCACCTCTGTGTATTTTAGTTTTAATTACTCTTTTTTTCTAAGCCAAAATAAGCATAAAATGCTTTGCCCATTCTTGATTATCTTTCATTTAAATCCATCAGCTGAGACAATGGTTTGGCTCATCATCTGGTGGGTTAAAAGCACAAACTGAATCAGAATCAGAATCTGCTTTACTGGCCAGGTGTGTTGAACAGATGAAGAATTTGACTCCAGTACAGTGGCTATCAGTGGTTCATGGTTTAAGTGTTGACTGTTTGGGTTGATTGCAGGTTGTAATGGACATTGTGTTTTCCCCACAGGGTTTGCAGGTGAAGGCTGATTATGTTCCACTGCTGCAGTCTCTCGCTGACTATGGATGGAGACTCACCTGTGTGCTGCCAACTCCCATAGTCAAGACTAACAGGTAACCGCCCTCATTTGAATATTAGAGTGGGATTAAAGGATCCATGACTTCTACCGTCCTCTGTTGGCAGCCAACGTGAACTGCAACAACAGCAATGACAAGCCTTTGTTTAACTAACTGCGTGGCAGCTAAGATCAATACTCACCCACGTACTTATTCAAATATAAGTAGTTTGTTTGTAATTATGACCTTGACATGAAAATGATGAATGGAAGTGATATTTTGAATCAAGGTAGAAATGATCATAACTTTTGTAAGAAAAAGCTTGATTTGCAAAGTAGTAGAAGTATAAAGTACTATAAAGTGGAAACACTCAAAGCAAGGCAAGTTTTTATACAACACTTTCAGTAATAAGACTCAAAGTGCTTATATAAGAGATAAAACTGCATGGGCAATATTAATTTACTCATTTAAGTAAGGTTCCACAATAATACTGTAAAATAAAAATAACTAAAAAGAATAATAAAAAAGTCACTGCTCATTTAGATATACAAATAAATAGCCCTCAAATAAAGTACAAGTAGCTCAGAACTGTACTACTGGATGAGGAGCAGCAGTGCTTCAGTACATTAGTAAATATACTTTAATATGTTCCACTGCTGCTCCTGATCCACTAAAAAATATTGTTTTAAAATACAAGACTCTTATTTTTGTAAGCTTCACAGTGTCACAACAGTGAAGTAGTGTTTTGTCACCAACAGCTTTGTGTCACTGTAGAGTTTACAAAGAAAACACATTCATTGCTTTTTTAAAATTAAGATTCTGTGTATAAAAATTAAAGTGTCACCGATGACATGTTGTAGTTTTGTTGTTAACTTTGAGTAGAGCAGTCGTCTCCCAACCGGAAGGTTGAAGGTTCGACTCTCGGTGCCTGCAGTCCAGATGGTTAGAGCCATCGGTTGAGTTGGCACCACAGATGGCTGCCTGGGTTCTGTACCGGAAACAAATTCCTTGTGTGTAACATACTTGGCCAATAAAGGTGATTATCCTTATTATTATTATCTTCCTAAAACCTACAAAAAAGAAGGAAAAGTGAAGCCTTGTGTGAAAAGTCATGGTTCAATTTTAAAATCTAAAGATACTACAAACTCACAGCAATACCTGCTGTATATGGTACAGTGTTCTGAAACAACCGGAGCATGGTATGAATCATAACATACACACCTTGTCTGCTCACGTTATTGTTCAAGCAACAGCTTTTGAAGAAGCTGACCTAAATCAGCTTGAAGCTCGCTTCAAGCTGAGCAGCAGCAGCTTCGCCCTGATGGTGGAAACTCCATTCACAGAAATGTAACGGTTCCTAAGCGGAGCCTGCGCTGACTCAGCACTCATGGCAGCTGTATGAGCGTACATCTGTTTACGGTCCCAGGCCTCACATGTTCTCAGACACACAGAGGAGCCTCACAGCTTCATCTCAAAACAGAATTTGTTCTTTAACGTGACAGTCGAATATTTCACTCTGGTTTTGGTCAGTATGGTGCTTTAGCCAGTCTTGGAAATCACTCATGGGTATCTAGAGATAATAGCATAGTAATGAAATACAATGAAACCAGTTTATCATGATAGTCAAAGGCCTTCTCTACCTTATCTAAACATATAAATTGAGCCACACAGTACAATGATGGGAGTCTGAATTCTTGCTTCTGGAAGTTCTGGTTTCACTTCAGCTTTCTGTTGGTCTTTGGAACTGTTCCTGCTATCCACACAGATCAGCAAAGACAAACCTTCTGAAAGCAGTGTCATTATGAGTAATGGGATACCAAACGCTCTGCACAGTAATGACTTGAATTAAGTTCAGCTGGAACTATGGGGCTTCAGCTGTCTGAAGTGGGTTTCTTATTAATTTGTGGTCAGTTAAGCTACATTTCTACTTCCAGCAAGAAAACATTGTTTGGGGGACCTCAAGAGGGAATCTCATGCTAAAAATACTTTGAAGGATTCCCATGTGATTTGTCTAATTGACTAGTGAAGCCTCATATGGCTTTGCACAAAATGTGAACTGCTGAGTTTGTTCCCCTGTCACTTACAATGAATATGCTTTAAGAAGGGACCTGTTTGCAGCCAGTGTGGACATCACTTACAATGAATATGCTTTAAGAAGTGTGGACCGGAGGAATGATTAAAACCACCAATAACTCTTTCACTGTACAAAAAGCATGTAAATATTGTTTTGAGGTAGACTTGAAAAATGTGGACATATCCCTTGATAACAAGCTGTTATGCATCTTACTGATGAAGTGTGCATGTATTTCTGTCAGTGCACTGACCGATTGTTTGCTCTGCCCCCACAGCAGCTAGTTATGTTTGCTGCTCTTTCATAACATAGCTGATTAATTACCTCTTTATTTTCATCTTTAGTTTTTTTCTACCATCCCTAACTCTCTCATCTGTTTCCAAATGCCACAAAACAACAGCACAACATGGCTAATTAATCAGAGTCGGCCTAGATCCAGTACAAGACAGAGCTCATTTCTCTCTCTGCCTCGAAAACAGTTTGCGTGCTGAGAAAAAAAAGGTTGATGATCTATTTCAGATTAGCAATATTCATTACATTTGTTTTTGTGGTGTTGACTTCTCCGTTTTTAAATAGCAAAATTGCAAATGCTTTTTGTAGTCTGAGGGTGTGCAAGCTGCACTTCATCTGGAGAGGTCAGATAAGTGTCAGTGATCTCAGCAGTCTGAAATTAATGCTAACTGGTGCTCAGCGGCTGCTCCACACAACATTAATTCATGTAGTTGTCTCATAGCATGCAGTCATGTTCCGGGCATTCAATTATTGTAGATGTAATTACATTTTAGATTCATTAACTACAGTAAATGTGAATTTCTCTAAATTAACTATGGAACACGTGAACGATGTGCAGACAAATTGGCTAATTATTGCAGGTATCTAAATTTGTTGGAGACCGAATAGTAATTAACATATACATCTCAGTCTCTGGTCTTTAGATTTTAAGTGCAGCATTTCATTTTTCAATTGTTTATTTCAGGTCTGCAACACAGGTGTGTAGTATTCTTTTTACCCTATAGATGAAGTCACCTACAGGTACTTTCATAGGCTATTACTGTTCTGTATGGGTTCAAGTTATAATAGTTCAGCTGACACTGACAGTCAGGAGCAGGTTCAGTAAAGGCCTGCAATTTTCTACACCATCCACTCCTTTCTAGTTTAATGGGCCAAGGCCTTTGCTGGGAACTCTGGTTAGTTTTCAGCTTTAATTTACCAGGAAACCATCCAGCATTCTTGACAGCCTAGAAAATAGCTTATGGATAATTGGCGGAAGGATATAGGTAATGGAAAAAAGGAGTTGTGTTGGGCTTTGGATGGTTTAGATGGTAAGCCTTCTGCTGGAGGATTCTGAAGTCCATTTGATGTTGAGTAAGAGAAGATTTGTAGCCAGCTTTCAGGGTTCTACAGTGATCATAAACCTGCCATCTTCCCTCATGTGCAAGGTTGAGCGGGCAGCTTAACTTTAGACAGCATCTAAATTTGTGTGTGTGTGTGTTTGTGTGTGCACTTTGGCACATGTGTTACTGGACTTGTCAGGTAGCAGCAAAGGACAACATATCTCCTTTTAAACCTTGTCCAATAATAGCAAAAGAGAAATAGAGGGAATAAAGCAGAAACAAACAATAAAGCTGTCAGAAATCAGGCTGTCACATGAGATAAGAGCAAAGAGGTAAAACTGGGCAGACAGCTGGGCTATGAAAAGGGCTGTGCATGACAAAGAGGAGCAGACTGAGGCATGAGAGACAGGAAGCCCACTCAAAAGAAATCTACATTTCCTGCCATGATTAATCTGTCAGTGTGAGTACTTGTGGAGATTATCCTTCTCAAAACACAGGAGTGTGACATGCACATGGGATGGAGGATTATATTTGGGGAACTGAGGAAAAGAGGAGAAATACATGTTTAAGAAGATATTCACAAGTTGGTCTCAGAAATTCAGGCAACCTTCAAAATCTGCCTCTTAACAGCATGTGATCTGAGTCTGGTTCAAATGAAATGGAGAGAATAATATCAATGGATGACAACAGTGAGGAGACTGGGCCACAGATTTCCTCGAATGAGAGTGTGAAGCATGAGTAGTGGCCAGCAATCACTTGGCTGTCTTGATGGATGGTCAGAAAGAGGGTGGATAATTCCATGCTGTCCCTGGATTTAACTCGCTGCAGCAAATTTTCAGCCATAAAAAATACAATGAAAGTGTGAATGATCTGTCAGTAACATCATTTATAAATGTTTAAACATTGAAAAGAAAGTGGGAAAAGTTTATATATATATA